GAGGCGAGGGTGGATGGATCGCGAGGTCAGGAGTTCAAGACCAGCCTGGTGAAACCACTTCTCTCCTAAAAATACAAAAATTAGCCTGGTGTGGTGGCAGGTGCCTGTGATCCTAGCTACTCGGGAGGCTGAGGCAGGAGACACACTTGAACCCAGAGGGCAGAGGTTGCAGTGAGCTGAGATTGTGTCACTGAACTCCAGCCTGGGCAACAGAGGAAGACTCCATCTCAAAAAAAAAGAGCAATGAAGGAAGCTGAGTGGGATCCAGTGTGCCAGGGAGTACTGTGTGCTACCTTGAGCTGCACACTCAAAGTCATCATGATGGAAGACATGAGAGTTGTAATCTCTGCATGGCAGGTGACAAAAGATTTGTCTTTTTTTTTTTTGAGATGGAGTCTTGCTCTGTTGCCCAGTCTGGAGTGCAATGGCATGATCTCAGCTCACTGCAACCTCTGCCTCCTAGGTTTAAGCGATTCTCCTGCCTTAGCCTCCTGAGTAGCTGGGATTACAGGCACACGCCACCATATCCAGCTAGTTTTTGTATTTTTCATAGAGACAGGGTTTCACCTGTTGGCCGGGCTTATCATGAACTCTTGATCTCGTCATCGGCCCATCTTGGCCTTCCAAAGTGCCAGGATTACAGGCTTGAGCCACTGCGCCTGGCCTTGTCCTTTCTTTTAAGTGTCTCTTGCAATTCTTTATCTGCTGATTTTTCCATAGTCAGCATTAATTAATTAATTAATTGTGTTTGAGACAGGATCTCACCGTGTTGCCCAGGCTGGAGTGCAGTGTCTCAATCATGGCTCACTTCGGACTTGCGTTCCTGGCCTAAAGTGGTCCTCCTGCCTTGGCCTCACAAAGTGTTTGGATTACAGGCATCAGCCACTGTGCCTGTCCTATTAATTTTTTAATTAGAAATGAGAATCAACTAAAGATTGACAAAAATTACTTTAGAATAGCATTGATAGATAGTGTGTCTTGGGAGAAAGGTAAGATTTAAGAAGTCAAAGACATCTTTTCTTGATTCATATTCAAAGGGTCCTGCTCCCTCCAACCCACATGTCTACTCCTGTGCCCTTTCTGAAATTTCCCCTGAGAGATTTGTCCCCGCTATTTGTAATATCCTGTAGTTTTTTTGTAAGCCCTATAGTTTTGGAATTGAAATCCTGTGTCCCATTAGACTCAAGGTAGCATTTTAAGAAGTTCTTCAGGCCGAGCGCGGTGGCTCACGCCTGTAATCCCAGCACTTTGGGAGGCTGAGGTAGGTGGATCACAAGGTCGAGAGATCAAGACCATCCTGGTCAACATGGTGAAACCCCGTCTCTACTAAAAATACAAAAATTAGCTGGGCATGGTGGCGCACGCCTGTAGTCCCAGCTACTCGGGAGGCTGAGGCAGGAGAATTGCTTGAACCCAGGAGGCAGAGGTTGTGGTAAGCCAAGATTGTGCCATTGCACTCCAGCCTGGGTAACAAGAACGAAACTCTGTCTCAAAAAAAAAGAAGTTCTTCAATGTCTTTCTTTTTAAAAATGGGATTTTTTGGCTGGACAAAGTGGCTTCCACCTGAAATCCCAGCACTTTGAGAGGCCAAGGCCCAAGTTCAATACCAGCCTGGGCAACACAGTGAGACCCTGTCACTACAAAACATTAAAAAATTAGTTGGGTGTGACCTGTTGTCACAGCTACTCAGGAGGCTGAGGGGGGAGGATTACTTGAGCCCAGGAGGTCGAGGCTGCAGGGGACAATGATCACATCATTGCTGCATTTCAGCCTGACAACGAAGTTGAGACTCTGTGTCCAAAAAAAAAAAAAAAAAAAAAAAAAAAAAAAAAAAAAAAAATGGACATGGTGGCTCATGCTTGTAATCCCAGCACTTTGGGAGGCTGAGGCAGGCAGATCACTTGAGCCCAGGAGTTGTTTACGAGCAGCCTGGCCAATAGGGCAAAATCCTGTCTCTACTAAAAATACAAAAATTAGCCAGGTGTGCTTGTGCACGACTATAATCCCAGCGATTCAGGAGGCTGAGGCAGAAGGATCACTTGAACCCGTAAGGCCGAGGTTGCAGTGAGCCATGATCGTGCCACTGCACTCCAGCCCGGGTGATAGAGCGAGACTCTGTCGCAAAAATAAAACAGACAAAAAAATTTTAAAAAAATAAAACAAAAAACACAATAACCCTAAGTTCCTCAACTTTTAGGTACCTACCTCCCTTGGGACCAGAAGCATCAAAATCGTCTTCTGATCAGGAACTGTAGTCCCAGCTATCTGGGAGGCTGAAGCAGGAGAATTGCTTGAACCTTGGCATTTGAGTCCGGCCTGAGAAATATAGCAAGACTTTGTCTTAAGAAAAAAAAAAAGATTATTTTCTGTCTTGGCCACGGTCTCCCTGTCCACTAAATGATTGAGGGTGGGAATGGAAGTAGAACCAAAATAACAGGAAACTCAAAGATGCCTGAGATCCACGAAAAAATGAGTCACTTTTTAAAAATCATGGTTTTTTTTCTGCAACATCTTTTTAAAAATCAGATGTTTTCGCATTTATATGGACTCTAAATAAAATGAAGATATCTTTTTAAAAGGGTAAGTTTTTAGAAGTTTTATGGAAAAAATTTTTTTTTTGAAACAGGTCTGTCTCTGTCACTCAGGCTGCGGTGCAGTGGCATGAGCTTGGCTCACTGAGACCTCCACCTCTCTAGCTCAAGTCTCGCTGGCTTCCCACACTGTCATTACAACTAGAACAAGGGACACGTGAAGAGTGAGTGGCCCAGCGTGGCTCAGCTGATAAGTGACGGACATGGGCTTGGACCCAGGACTTCTGGCTGCTGCGTGCATGTGTCCTGCTCCCCTACAGCTTGAAGAAGGCTACAGAAGTGAGACTGGAGGACTTCTTGGAAAAAGAAACTTGGTTATCAGTATAGTGGGAGAAGAGCAAATGCTTATGAATACGCATCTGTGCTTTAAAAGTCACCAGGAGCTGGGTGTTGTGGCTCACGTCTGTAATCCCAGCACTTTGGGAGGCTGAGGCAGTTGGATCACTTGAGGTCAGGAGTTCGAGACTAGCTTGGCCAACATGACAAAACCCCATCTCTACTAAAAAGAAAAAAAATTAGCCGAACCCAGAAGGTAGAGGTTACAGTGAGCCAAGATTGTACCAGCCTGGACGACAGAGCAAGGAAAACAAAGGAACAACAACAACAACAAACAAAACAAAACAAGAAAACACCATGACCCAGAGAAAGAAAAAAAATGAAGTTCCCAAATGGAAAAAGCCCCTAAAATTACCATTTTAAAGCACAAGCCCCAATCAGCTCTGGGGATTTGCAGGAAACTCATCGAAGCTATTGATAGGAACTATTGTTTTGGTGCCAGGATTTTCAATTGGCGGTTATCTTATAAAGGACCAAAGATGACAGTTGATATTTCAAACTGAAACCAATGTCCCCTAGTGGAAAGCTTGCTGGGCCCGTGCATTCTGGGGTTGGTTACTGAGCTTGGAGACCCCCTGGGTTGGAGGACACACTTTTGGCTGATTTGGGGGGCTTCTGAGGAGCATCAAAATGTGTACTCTGTGTTCTTGCACCACGGCTATTAGATTGTGAGGCTCTGTCCTTGGCAGGAAATGGTAAAGGAACCAGCAGGAAGCCTAAAACAAGGGAAAGGAAACTCCTCCCTCCTATCAAAGGCCAGGCAAGGGCAAGGATGAAAACGGAAAATGGGGCACTTGCATTAAAGCCGTCTGGGGGCGTGGTGGGGATAGACATGTTGAAATGGAGAGTGGTTGAATCTTGCAAGGAAGTAAGGAAAATTTATCTGTCTCAAGGGCAAGGATGGATGATAGGCTTGTATTTATTGTATAACTTTAATATGGAGCCTTAGTCCTCCAGAAATCTGCACCATGCCCAGGGAAAGTGCTGTTCCTTTATTTACAGGAGGCAGAGGTTTGTGTTGTTTTCTGAGGTCCAGTAGCTCACTGTGAGAACAACCTTTCCCTCGTTCCTGATTTCTAGCTTATTCGAGGCCAGGTGACCCAAAACTCAAGTTGAAAATTTTGACTGGGAGAATAGATAAAAGTAGAAATGGAATATAATTGTAAGAAATGCTCAATGTGAAGGAGAGAGAAATGCAAAGAATTTTTCTGTGTTGTTGTTGTTGTTGTTTGTTTGTATGTTTGTTTTTTGGAGACCGAGTCTCACTTTGTTGCTCAGGCTGGAGTGCAGTGGTGTGATCTTGGCTCACTGCAACCCCCACCTCCCGGGTTCAAGCAATACCCTTTCCTCAGCCTCCCGAGTAGCTGGGACTACAGGCGCAGGCCACCACACCATATTGCCCAGGCTGGTCTGGAACTCCTGAGCTCAGGCAATCCACCTGCCTTGGCCTCCCAAAGTGCTGCGATTACAGGCATAAGGCACTGCGCCCAGCTGAATTTTTCTGTTTTACCATGGTCTTTGTAACTGAAAATCCTATGTTCCTGAGGTAGAGAGAGCGCGCGCCAGTGATCCAATGCAAGAAACTGAGTTTAAGAAGAAACTGTTCATCTGAGAGCCGACAACTCATTCTTGAAGGTTAGAGCTCAGCTTTGAAGTTTCAATTCACGAGCCTGGCTTAGTGAGGTATGCTACTCCCTGGTGAGAAAGAAAATGAAGACAACATTTTATGTTGAAAGTGCTCAGTGATGAAAAGGCAGCACCTAGGTCCCTTATCTCATCAGAAATGCAGCAGATTGTTAATATTAGCAATTTCATGTTTAGATTGTTACCTGAAGAAGGGAAAAACAAACTGTCCCGAATGCTGATTCTGCTGTTTTGGTGGGGAAAAAAAAAATGTCTAACAGGCAAGTGGCAAACAACAGAAGTTCTGAAGAAGCAGGCCTGGGGGCAGTCCAGTATAGTTTCATAATGGTATTAATAGTTATTTCACTGTGTTTTTTCCCCCTTTTTTTCTGGGTTTTGATGTGAATCTCTTCCTATTTGTTCAGGAAATTATGACGTGTGTTCTGGGCAGGGTTTGAGGTTTCAGAACCTTTTCTAAAAGGGACAGAGAGCACCCTGCTACATTTCCTAATCAAGAAGTTGGTGTGCAGCCGGGAAAGCTGAACGGAGTGGGTCATGATGCAGAAGCTATTCAAATGCAGTCAGCTGGTCCTGGCTCTTGCCCTCATCCTGGTTCTGGAATCCTCAGTTCAAGGTAAGACTCGGGAGTCTTGTTCCCCAGCCATCTTCTCTGTAAGCCCCAGAGACCATACAAGTCATTATATTCATTTTAAGGCACAGAATGGATAATATTGTAGGATAGGAGGCAAAGAAGAAGGATTGGGGGTAGCTGAACCCTTTAATATGAATTCAGTTAAGTTTGGTACCAAGAAATATTAAACTCTGAGGCACGCACAGTCTTGGAAACTCTTGCAATGATTGAAATGTGCTAATTTATTTTGGGATGAAAGTATGAGGTTTATAAATTTTGAAAGCTCAAAAAAGGAATCTAGAAAGTGACTCCTGTGCCTGTTGCGTGGAGGAGATGGGACCTTTGAGTGTTTGCGGGTTTCTGCCTAATCCTAAGTGTCTATATCAGCCCCAGGTTTTAGTGCACTGTGACAGTGTCATTGTTAGTTTAACACTGGGAGATATTATATTTCAACTGGGGTGAATTTGACTGTGTGTATTTTTTTTCTTTTTTTTTTTTTTTTTAAGATAAACTTGGTTCTTACTGAAAACTCGATTATGGTTAGACATAGTTAATGCAAACCCTCTCAGATTTTAAAGAGAAGGCCACAGAATGTGGTATTTGTGCTGTTGGTCAGAGCACCATCATATTCGGAAGTATCTTCCTAGGTTTATCTGTCATTTAGTGTTGTTTAGTCCGACTGAAACAACTTAAAACCTCTAATGACTAAGAAAATAAAAATGATCAGTTTGTAAGAAAAATACAATTTGTTCTCCTTTGAGAAATAAGGAATCATGTCGAAATAAGAAAGAGGTCATGGCCTGATAGAGAGATGGCAGAACTGAGAGCAGAAAAACACTAGGTTCCCCCAAATGGTAAGGGAAATGTTGAGTCACAATGACACACACGTCCTAGATTTGTTTCGTCAAAGCGACTTTTGGTTGTCAGGATGTAGAGATGAAATCTTACAGATGATCGCAGAGACATTCATTTTATATTGGAAATTTATAAAATCTCATTTTCTTCTCAATGTTAATACTGAAAAAAGAGCAAGCAACATTTCTGGAATTTTATTAATCTATGTATTTTTAAAATATAAAACATTGTCAATTGTAGGGAACAGACTTCACTTGGATCACTTAGGGAATATCTTCAGCTTGATGAAATAATTCCCTTAGAACCATGTGGTCTGACAAGATCAAGAGCAATGAGGTCTATACTTTAATACAGTCTTGAGTAGCTAGGTGGTGCCGGGCCTATGGCAACCAGAGATACGTAAGTCTGTATGTTTCCAAAATTTCCCAGAAACATGAATTTCCTGCTAAGATTCATTAAGGAAAACTAGAATGAAAGCAACAACGTTCCTTGTACAGTATTCATTAGAAAGAAATGAAGAAAAAAATAGTTTGTCGTGAAATTGGATAGAATACTAGCATTTATGTCATGACCTCATAGGTTTAGCTGTTTGTTAGAAAAGGAAACCATAGAAAGAGACAAGGGAGAAACTGACAAACTTGGGTGTTTCCGAAAAAAGGCTCTTGGTATTGGCTCAAGGGCTTGTGCCCACATCTGAGTGCGCAGGGAAATAGATGTTCCCCCACGGCTGCATGCGTGAGTGGCTGCCGCACGAGGCTGCGATGTGAAGAGTCATGACACCATTTCCTCACACCTCCATACAATGCCAGATATGATTCAACAACATTCTCCCCGTCTTATAAAAGGTGTTTATCTAGCCCCTTGGTTTGGCTGATCAAATCAACTAGGCTTTTGGCTTGCTTATACTGAACATATTCAAAACCATTTCAGATTACTGTAGTAGTTTGCTTGGGCTGCCATAACAAAGTGCAGGAGACTGGGTGGTTTTAACAACAGAATTTTTTTTTTTTCCTCTGAGTTCTGAAGTTGGGAGTCCAAGATCAAAGTGCTGGCAGGGTTGGTCGCATTCTGCAGCCTCTCTCCTTGGCTTATAGATGGCGCCTTCTCCCCTGTCTGCACGAGGCTTTCCCTCCACGCATCTGTGTCTTAATACCGTCTTCTCATAAGGTCACCAGTCACTGGATCACAGCCACCCTAATGACCTCATCTTAACTAGCTATATCTGCAATGACCCTATTTCCAAATAATTTCACACTGTGAGATTCTGTGGGTTAGAACTTCAACATCTGAATTTGGTGGTGGTATATTTTTACTGTAAGTCACACCCAAGTAAAGACATGGGGTAAAATTGCATCTACCCAGCATAAAGAAATGGCAATTTGGGGACGTGTGGGTAACCCTGGGGAGCACAGATGACTAATCTATTTAATGGAGAGCTCCAGGGGATTTGATGAGGCTTGTGAATCTTACACTCTTATTGCTTCTCTTTTCCAATGACGCCCATAAAGAGAAAAAATGGGATATCCATGAACAGGTGCGGCCAGGTCTTCCTGTCTCCTAGCTCACAGGAATGATACCGATCCACTCATTGTGCTGCCGTTTGTAAAGTGATTTCATTTCACATGTATTCTCTGATCATCATCATCACATTTCCTGTGAGGGGGCATTAGCACCAGAAAACTGGATCTGACATTTCTCATCTTATTTCTCTACACATCAACCTCTTGCAAAAATTTATGAGTCTTGCCCAAGATCCATTACAGCTAATTAATGGCTGAACTGGTCATCTGATTTCAAAGTCAGAATTGACTTTCTACTGAAGCTCTTTGATTAGAGGTTGTCTTTATTTAAACAAACAAAAAGTTCTTTGACTGTAGCACTTGCTATAACGTTTCCTACTGAGCTGAAGGAGAAATTGAAAGTAAACTTAGGAGCTTTTTATAGCTTGTCAAACCGTGCAAGAGCAGGGGAAGCTAATCCATCTTGTGGAATGGATAGAGCAGGAGGAAGTAACTCTGGCTTTGATAATGCTACCATTTTGAATGAATCAACCCCTTCACAGTAGTTGCTGCTTAAGTTTCTCTAACATGCCTGCGGTAAAGTTCCATTAAGAATAGGAAATTAGGGCCGGACGCGGTGGCTCAAGCCTGTAATCCCAGCACTTTGGGAGGCCGAGGTGGGTGGATCACAAGGTCAGGAGATCGAGACCATCCTCCTTAACATGGTGAAACCCCGTCTCTACTAAAAATACAAAAAATTAGCTGGGCATGGTGGCGCGTGCCTGTAATCCCAGCTACTCAGGAGGCTGAGGCAGGAGAATTGCCTGAACCCAGGAGGCGGAGGTTGCGGTGAGCCGAGATCGCGCCATTGCACTCCAGCCTGGGTAACAAGAGCGAAACTCCGTCTCAAAAAAAAAAAAAAAAGAATAGGAAATTAGGCTGAGTGCGGTGGCTCATGTCTGTAGTCCTAATACTTTGGGAGACCCAGGTGGGTGGGTCACTTGAGGTCAGGAGTTCAAAACCAGCCTGGCCAACATGGTGAAGCCCTGTCTCTGCTAAAAATACAAAAATTAGCCAGGCATGGTGGCACATACCTGTAATCCGAACTACTCAAGAGGCTGAGGCAGGAGAATCACTTGAACCAGGAGGTGGAGATTGCAGTGAGCCTAGATCACCCTACTGCTCTCCAGCCTGGGCACTAGACTGAGACTCCATCAAGAAAGAAAGAAGGAAGGAAGGAAGGAAGGAAAGAGAAAGAGAGAGAGGAAAAAAAGGAAAAAAGAAGGAAGGAAAGGAGAGAGAAATAGAAAAAAGAGAAAGAGAAAGAGAAAGAAAGAAAAAAATTGGTACATGGTGATTATGTATGTTAGGGAAAAGTTAGTATGATAATATAAAAAGGTATGGACTACTGAAGAAAGTTGTTTGCTCTGGTAATATTTACTCATAGAAAGTATTTTGGTAAAGCAGGACTTGGGGTATTGGGGGGAGCTGGGCAGTGAGGAATGGGATTCAAATAAAAACTGTTCTTTCCCTTGGAATCCGCTATACAATTAACCAAGAAATCCCATAAGTGGGTCTTTTAGGAAGATAACATTTCTGTCCATGAGCATACCCACTATAATCACAAGACATTTATCTTAAGCAAGATAGAGTCAAGATACTCTCACAACCTCAGGGGCTAGAACTGTAAAATTTCACATCCTGCCAACACCCTTAAATAGCCATGTCAAGAATTTAGTGTCTGTAACTTGTTCTTTCTTTTAAAGTACATTTAACATCATTGGTCCCAGGTTTGGAGTGGGAGACCTTCTACTTTTGATTTCTTTATAAAATGTTTAAATAGCTTTGTTGAGATAGTGTTTACATAACATACAGTGGTATGTAAACACCCATTAAAAGTATTCAATGATTAGGCCAGGCATGGTGGCTCATGCCTGTAATTCCAGCACTTTGGGAGGCCAAGGCAGGTGGATCACTTGAGGTCAGGAGTTTGAGACCAGCCTGGCCAACATGGCCAGAACTTGTCTCTACTAAAAATACAAAAATTAGCTGGGTGTGGTGGTGTGCACCTGTAATTCCAGCTACTCGGGAGGTTGAGGCAGGAGTATCTGTTGAACCTGGGAGGTGGAGATTGCAGTGAGCCAAGATCCTGCCACTGCACTCCAGCCTGGAGACAGAGCGAGGCTCTGTCTCTAAAAAGAAAAAAAAAAGAAAAGAAAAGAAAAAAATGCAAAATATCCCATTAATAACTTTTATATTGATGATATGTTAAAGAATGATATTTTGAATATATCAGATTAAGTAAAATGTATTAAAATTAATTTCACCTGTTTCTTTCTACTTTTAAAAATATGGCCGCTAGAATATTTAAAACTCTATGTGGTTTCCTTTACGTTTCTATTGGAAAGAGCGGGTCTAGACAGCACAAGGTGTGAAGACACCGCCCTCTGCTGGAAGAGAGGTTGGATTTTTTTTTTTTTTTTTTTTTTCTGAGACGGAGTTTCGCTCTTGTTACCCAGGCTGGAGTGCAATGGCGCGATCTCGGCTCACCGCAACCTCCACCTCCTGGGTTCAGGCAATTCTCCTGCCTCGGCCTGCTGAGTAGCTGGGATTACAGGCACGTGCCACCATGCCCAGCTAATGTTTTGTATTTTTAGTAGAGACGGGGTTTCACCATGTTGACCAGGCTGGTCTCGATCTCTTGACCTCGTGATCCACCCGCCTCGGCCTCCCAAAGTGTTGGGATTACAGGCGTGAGCCACCGCGCCCGGCCAAGGTTGGATTTTTATTTCACCTACTTGGAGAGCCGTCTGAGTAGCAAGCAGATGCCAAACTAATGCTGCCTCAGGAAAGAATCAAAAAAGGAGAAAGAAACAGCGACACCAGGCTGGGCACAGTGGCTCATGCCTGTAATTCCAGCTCTTTGGGAGGCCAACACGGGCGGATCACTTGAGGTCAGGAGCTCTACACCAGCCTGGCCAACATGGCGAAACCCCGTCTCTAATAAAATACAAAAATTAGCTGGGAGTGGTGGTGGGCCCCTGTAATCCCAGCTACTTGGGATTCTCAGGCAGAAGAATCACTTGAACCTGGGAAGTGGAGGTTGCAGTGAGCCAAGATGGGGCCACTGCACTCCAGCCTGGGCAACAGAGCGAGACTCCATCTCAAAAAAAAGACCATAAACTGAGAATCCTAGAGATACTAAATGGTAGAATGGGAATTTGAATTTAAATTTATAAGTCGTTCACTACAGAGATCATAGGTCATTGTTATCCTTCTCATTAGAAAAACTAGCAATGAAGAACTCTGACTGTGTGCTAGGTCCTATTCTGAGAACCTAACATTTGTATCTCATTATTAGATCTATTACTTCCCATCCTACAGATGAGAAAATTGAGGCGCAGGGAAGTTAAGTTGGCCAAGATCACACAGCCAGACACTGAAAGGTCATTTTGCCTGCCTTACCCCCAGCCTCGAGGCAGCGACAGACCTAACTCACTTTGGACAACCAGCTCTCCCAGACCAGACATTGTCAGCTATACTCAGGAATCACAGGAAAGATTATAAGAAAATAATATATAGTTCCAAAGAAAAGAAAGAAAATCCAGTGGGAGAATATTTACTAGACTTTTAATGTTTATATTTTTAGAGGACTATTGTTAATTACAGCAATTTAGAAAACAAAACGAGAAAAAAAAATCACCAAAGACTCTACCACCATAGTTATTTTTGTGTATTTCCTTCCATTTCCCCCCAATATTGGTTGATATAGTTGAAACTATTATGCACACAAAGTGGTATTCTGATTTTCTCACTCATTTTATTTATTTATTAATTTATTATTATTATTATTATTATTATTATTATTGAGATGGAGTCTTGCTCTGTTGCCAGGCTGGAGTCCATTGGTGCAATCTCGAATCACTGCAACCTCCGCCTCCTGGGTTCAAGTGATTCTCCTGCCTCAGCCTCCCAAGTAGCTGGGACTACAGGCACCTGCCACCATGCCCAGCTAATTTTTCTATTTTTAGTAGAGACAGGGTTTCACCATGTTGGCCAGGATGGTCTCCGTCTCTTGATCTTGTGATCCGCCCACCTCAGCCTCCCAAAGTGCTGGGATTACAGGTATAAGCCACTGTGCCCGGCCTCATTTATTTTTAATTTTGTAAATTAATTTTTTTCTTCTGAGACAGTTGAACTCTGTAACCCATGCTGGAGTGCAGTGGTGCAATCCTGGCTCACTGTGACCTCCTGGGCTCAAGGAATCCTCCTGCCTCAGCCTCCTGAGTAGCTGGGACTATAGGTGTGTGCCACCACATCCAGCTAAAATTTTTTAAATCTTTTTTTTTTTTTCTGTAGAAATGGGAGTCTCTCTATGTTGCCTAGCCTGGTCTTGAACTCCTGGGCTCAAGTGATCCTCCCACCTTGGTCTCTCGAAGTGCTGGGATTTCAGACATGAGCCACCACACCCAGTCTAATTTTTACTTTTATTTTATTAAAAAAACAATTATTGCCCTACCCCCCCCAACTCATTTTTAAGTATAGGTTTTTCTACAATGCCACATTGTCTTTTCCATAAAAAGTACTTTTGGCCAGGTATAGTGGCTCACACCTGTAATCCCAGCACTTTAGGAAGCCAAGGTGGGTGGATCACCTGAGGTCAGGAGTTTGAGACCAGCCTGGCCAACATGGTGAAACCCCGTCTCTACTTAAAATACAAAAATTAGCTGGGTGTGATAGTGGGCTCCTGTAATCCCAGCTACGCAGGAGGCTGAGGCAGGAGAATCACTTGAACCCAGGAGGTGGTGGTTGCAGTGAGCTGAGATCACGCCACCACACTCCAGTCTGGGCAACAAGAGCAAAACTCCATCTCAAAAAAAACCCAAAAAAAACCAAAAAAAGTACTTTTTAACCATTTGGTTACTATTCTCTTATGAGCAGATTTCTTGTAATTTATGAGTGTTTTTCATTATTTTGTGCTGAGCTTTAAAATCACCCTTCCTGCCTTTCAAAAACCCTAGACATGCTCTTTCTTGCTAGGTAATTATTAGTTGCACTTGCTAGAATAAGCATATACTTGGAGTGGGGAGGAGGTTAACTTTTTGTAGGGTGGTGATGTATTTCTCACCACTAGGACTTTGTCCTTGCTAAATCGAAGAAGGAAGATTTTATTTCATTAGCTAATAAAGAACCTCCTATATAGGCTGGGCATGGTGGCTCACGCCTGTAATCCTAGCACTTTCAGAGGCCCAGGCAGCTGGACTGCCTGAGCTCAGGAGTTCAAGACCAGCCTGTCCAACATGGTGAAACCCCATCTCTACTAAAAATACAAAAAATTAGCTAGGTATGGTGGCAAGAGCCTGTAATCCCAGATACTCGGGAGGCTGAGGCAGGAGAATTGCTTGAACCCAGAAGGTGGAGGTTGCCATGAGCCGAGATTGGGCCACTGCACTCCAGCCTGGGCAAGAAAGCAAAACTCTGTCTCAAAAAAATAAAATAAAATAAAAGATAAATCTCCTATATAACATCATGACATCAGATTTGGAGTCTTTTCCATAGAAATGAAATTCAGAAAAAGCTGAGACTCAGATAGTCCAAGCTGCCTGACCTTCTGTCAGTAGAGGGGACTTGTTCTTTTGAAATCTGAGTGCAAAGACACAGGACAATTTGTTATCTACTTTTCATTCCTAAGGATACTGTATGGCCTTAAAACACAAGAACTAGAATTCTGTAATACCACGAGTACTAGACAGTGCGTTCCTTCCCCTTTTGGACCTGATTTGATTCATCCCTACAAAAAGATGTGGACTTTGGGATCAGATGTGGGTTGGAATCCTGAATTCTCGACTTAGCACCTGTGTGGCTGTAATTTTCTTTTGTGTAAAATTGAGACAGTAGTACAAAAGTAACAACAGTTAATATTATCTAGTGTTTACTGTGTGCCTGGCACCATGTTAAACTCCTTATGTGCATTTTCTGATTTAATTTTTGTGGTAGGCTTATGACACTATTAGTTCTTCCTATTACAGTGAGGGTTCACAGAAATTAAGGTTTCATAACTGTTTAGCAAGATGGGACTTCACTCCAGGTAGCTGATTCCAAAGCCTATTCTTCTACTTTTTGGAGAAGGGCAATTTATATAAAAGGTTGGCACATAGTGGGTGCTGCTGTTATATGAATGGGCATAAAATCTGTCTACATTTTGCCTTTTACCAAATTTAGAATCTATTTAGTTAAAACCATCTTAGGGCAGGCCGGGTGCGGTGGCTCATGCCTGTAATCTCAGCACTTTGGGAGGCCAAGGCAGGAGGACTGCTTGAGCCCAAGCGTTTGAGACCAGCCTGGGCACATAGTGAGACTCCATTGCTACAAAAATAAAAAATAAAAAATCATAATAATAATTAGTTGGGTGTGATGGTGCGTCTGTAGTCCCAGCTGGCTGGGGTAGGGGGATGACGAGCCCAGGAATTCAAGGTTACACTGAGCTATGACCACAGCATTGCACTCCAGCTTGGGCAGCAGAGTGAGACCCTGTCTCAAAAAATAAAAAAATAAAAACTTCTTAGGACAGAGTGATTAGAAGCTGTGTAGTAGGTACTTAGTAACAATGTGGGTTCCTTGTTGGGCAGGTTACCCCATGCAGAGAGCCAGATACCAGTGGGTGCGCTGCAGTCCCGACAGTAATTCTGCAAACTGCATTGAAGAGAAAGGACCAATGTTCGACCTACTTCCAAGCGAATTGAACAAGATCCCCCATCTGAGGACTGACCCTTTTCCGTAAGTAGACTTTTCTCTAACTAAAAAAATTTTTTTTTTTTTTTTTTTTACAAACAGGGGTCTCTGTATGTTTCCCAGGCTGGTCATGTGCTCCTAAGCTCAAGCAGTCCTCCCACCTTGGCTTCCCAAAGTGCTGGATTTCAGGCGCGAGCCACCATTCCCAGCCCTGGTGACTTTCTCCATCACTGGATTAGTGATTCTATCATCACAATCTTCAATATGCAACTCTACAGTCCTACTCCTGCATTCTTACTTTAAGGCGGCAGCATTAAGTTTGAATGTAATATTACAGCCTCCTCCCTTACTTTAAGTCATTGGTTTCAATAGTAATTCATTTAAATCTAAAATGTTAGGGCACAGTAGCATTGGGGCTCATGCCTGTAATCCCACCAATTTGGGAGACTGAGGTGGGAGGTTCACTTGAGGCCAAGAATTCGAGACCACCCTGGGCAGCACAGCAAGATCCCATCTTTATTTAAAAATTAGTTGCTGGGCATCACTGCTCACACTTGTAATTCCAACACTTTGAGAGGCTGAGGCAGATTGCTTAAGGTCGGGGGTTCAAGACCAGCCTGGCCAACTTGGCAAAACCCCATTTCTACTAAAAATACAAAAATTAGGTGGGCATGGTGGCATGCTGTAATCCCAGCTACTCAGGAGGCTGAGGCAGGAGAAGCACTTGAAGCTAGGAGGTGGAGGTTGCAGTTAGTCCAGATCGTGCCACAGCACTCCAGCCTAAGTGACAGAGAGACTCTGTCTCAACAAAAAAAAAAAAAAAAAAATTAGAAATTAGGCCAGGAGCGGTAGCTCACGGCACTTTGGGAGGCCGAGGCAGGTGGATTGCTTGAGTCCAGGAGTTTGAGACCGGCCTGGGTGACATGGAGAAACCCTGTCTCTGTTTTTCTTTTTTTTTTTTAAATGGGGTTTCGCCATGATGGCCAGGCTGGTCTTGAACTCCTGACCTCAGATGATCCACCCACCTTGGCCTCCCAAAGTGCTAGGATTATAGGCGTGGGCCACCACACCCAGCTGGAGAAACCTTCTCTACAGAAAAAGACAAAAATTAGCCAGGCATGGAGAAACCTCATCTCTACAGAAAAATACAAAAATGAACCATGAGTGCCTGTGGTTCCAGCTACTCGGGAGGCTGAGGTGGGAAGATTGCTTGATCCTGAGACGTAAAGGCTGAAGTGAGCCATGGTGTGGCACTGCACTCCAGCCGGGGTGACAGAGTAAGACCTTGTCTCAAAATAAATAAACACATTTTAAATAAATAAATACAATTAAAACTAAAATTAAAAAATAGAATGTTAAGGGAGTAGCTCAAATTCTCCAAAAGAACTCTTGCACACCATTCCTCCTCTCCTCAAATCTCTATTTTCCTTCCCCAAAGCCATGACTTTGCTTCTCACCCTGACCCTGTGCCTTCCCTCCTGTCACTGCAGAAGAATGGTCCCTGCTTCTGTGAGAATCCCAAGCCCTTTTGCCCTCAGATCCTTCTGTCTTTCCTTCCCTGGGAGGGAAGTATTTTCTTTCTTTTTTTTGAGAGAGTCTCACTTTCATTGCCCAGGCTGGAGTATGGTGGTGTGATCTCAGCTCATTGCAACCTCTGCCTCCTGGGTTCAAGTCATTCTCCTGCCTCAGCCTCCCGAGTAGCTGGGATTACAGGCATGCCACCATGCCCAGCTAATTTTTGTATTTTTAGTAGCAGCAGCGTTTTGCCATGTTGGCCAGGCTGGTCTCGAATTCCTGACCTCAAGTGATCCCCCTGCCTTGGCCTCCCAAAATTCTGGGATTATAGGCGTGAGCCACCATGCGCCCGGCTGAGGGAAATCTTTTCTTGCTGTTGCTAATCTCTGGGTTACCTCGCTATCCCCCATTTGGCTTCACCTCTCCTCCATGAGGAATTTCCTATGTGTTAAATGTCTGGAGAAGTTTCCCGATTGGCCCTGGCTGTTGCAGCTTCTAAGGCCACCTCTCTTTGTGGCTGGTGTCCTATTCCCTTGCACCTTCTCCAGAAATTCCATTCTGCAGTTCTCTCTCTGAACCCAGTGTCCTCTTCCCATCAGTATGGCAGTGGACTTTAGTGTCTCCTATGTTTAGGCAACATCTGTCTTTTGTTTTTGCATCCTCTCCAGTGGTTGCCCTTCTCTGCTCTTCTAATACCTCCTGAAAGGGCCGCCTGTCTGCCCCTTCCTCTCCTCACCCCCCTGCGGCTGGACTTCTGTTCCTACACTGCATGCTGGTTGACACAGTCACTGGTTACTTCCCTATTTTCAGCTTAGTTGACCCTTAGTTGCCTTCAAAAACAGCTGACTGGGACATGCATGTAATCCCAGCACGTTGAGAGGCCAAGGCAGGAGGATCACTTGAGCCCAGGAGTTCAAGACCAGCCTGGGCCACATAGTGAGACCCTATCTACAAAAAGTAGAAAAATTAGCTGGGAGTAGTGGCTCAGGCCCATGGTCTCAGCTACAAAGGAGGATGAGGTGGGAGGATTGCTTGAGTCCAGGAGGGTGAGGCTGCAGCGAGCCGTGATCATGCCAGTGCACTCCAGCCTGCACAACAGGACGAGAACCTGTCAAAAAAAAAAAAAAAAAAAAAAAAAAGTTCAACCACCTCTTCCTTGAAATGCTTTTTTCTCTGGGCTTCCATGCCCTGTCTTATCCTATTTCCTCCTACTTCTCTGGTTGTTCTTTTTCCTCTGCTCAATATTTAATATATTGGTGTGAGCCTGGCCTTGTCCTGACCCCGCTTCTCTATCTATGTGTTTTCTCTAAGTGATCTCCATCGGTTCTGTGGGTTTAACTACCAAATCTGTGTTTCCAAGTCTGACATGCCAGCCTAAAGTAACCTCCTGGTCACTCTCTATCACGTTAGTCCATTTCTTTTCTCTGTACCACCTATGATTTTCTTGATTTATTTATTCACTTTTTATTGTCTGTCTTTCCCACTAAGTTAAAAACTTGTTGAGCAGGGACTTCATCTGTCTACTTCTGTTCTATCCCAGGCACTCAGGACAAGGACCAGATGTTCAACAAATATTTATTGAATGCACACGTGAATAAAAACTCTGATCAGTTATATGCTGGTTTATTATTTTTGTGGAGGAAATGACTTATAGGCTGTGACATTTAGCTTTTGTTTCTGATGCTTTGTTGCCCTGTTCTGTCACTGAGGCTGTCACCATTGCTCTGGCCGTTTTGTGCTCTTTGAATTTCTAACCATCACGCTCAATCCAGAAGGCAGCCTTACCTTTCAGCAGCTGAAAGAATGCAAGTTGGAGACAGGGTCATTTTTGTATAGGAAATTGAATGTTTGTATGCTGGTATATATGAAACTTAGCTTTTTACAAAGAATTTCTCAAAGTGAGCTTTGTTGAAGTACAGTAAATTATTAGAACTTTCATGGAAATTTTAATTTAGTAAAAAATGTCATCTCTCTGGGCTTAGTTTTTTGTCCTTTCTTTTGGGGGGGTCAGGGTGGGGGATGGAATTTTGCTCTTGTGGCCCAGGCTGGAGTGCAGTGGCGCTATCTTGGGTCATTGCAGCCTCCGCCTCCTGGGTTCAAGCGATTCTCCTGTTTTAGACTCTTGAGTAGCTGGGATACAGGCACAAACCACCACACCAGGCTAATTTTTGTATTTTTTGTAGAAACGGGGTTTCACCATGTTGGCCAGGCTGGTCTAGAATCCCTGACCTCAGTTGACCCACCCACCTCGGCCTTCTGAAGTGCTGGAATTACAGGTGTGAGCCACCGTGCCCAGCGGTTTGTCCTTTCTTTAGAGAGAAAGAGGTCTTTTTCTGAAACACTCTTGTTCTGTTGCCCAGGCTGGAGTGCAACAGTGCGATCTTGGCTCACTGCAACATCCGTCTCCTGGGTTCAAGCGATTCTCTCACCTCAGCCTTCTGAGTAGCTGGGAGTATAGGCATGCACCACCACGCTGGGCCAAGAGGTCTTCTTTTAAAAATGATTTCTTTTTTTTTTTTTTTTTTTCTTTTGGGACAGAGTTTCGCTCTTGTTACCCAGGCTGGAGTGCAATGGCGCAATCTCGGCTCACCACAACCTCTGCCTCCTGGGTCCAGGCAATTCTCGTGCCTCAGCCTCCTGAGTAGCTGGGATTACAGGCACGCGCCACCATGCCCAGCTAATTTTTTGTATTTTTAGTAAAGACGGGGTTTCACCATGTTGACCAGGATGGTCTCAATCTCTTGACCTCGTGATCCACCCGCCTCGGCCTCCCAAAGTGCTGGGATTACAGGCTTGAGCCACCGCGCCCGACCCAAAAATGATTTCTTAAGTAAATTTCAAATATACAATTTATATGCTAGTGAAAACAAATTAACACTGTTTATGCAAGTCTGCAATAGGTAGATGTGGAGTTGACAGATGCAATAAGTATAGGCAAACATATGGGAACATTTGACCTGGTTTTTTGTTTGTTTGTTTGTTTTAAAACATTGAATAGAGGCCAGACGTGGTGGCTCATGCCTGTAATCCCAGCACTTTGGGAGGCCGAGATGGGTGGATCACGAGGTCAAGAGATCGAGACCATCCTGGTCAACATGGTGAAACCCCGTCTCTACTAAAAATACAAAAAATTAGCTGGGTATGGTGCCGTGTGCCTGTAATCCCAGCTACTTAGGAGGCCGAGACAGGAGAATTGCCTGAGCCCAGGAGGCGGAGGTTGCAGTGAGCCGAGATCGCGCCATTGCACTCCAGCCTGGGTAACAAGAGCGAAACTCTGTCTCAAAATAAATAAATAAATAAATAAATAAATAAATAAATAAAAATAACTATTATAATTATCTTTCCCCCATATCAAACTTTACTGTTTTTTCCCCATTTTTCTTTCATACTTCAGAAAGCCAAGATTCCAGGACTTGAATCGTATCTTCCCGCTTTCTGAGGACTATTCTGGATCAGGTTCCGGCTCTGGCTCTGGCTCTGGCTCTGGCTCAGGATCTGGGAATGACTTCCTAACTGAAATGGAACAGGAGTACCAACCAGTAGATGAACTTGATGCTTTCCATGACAACCTTATGTCTCTTGACAGGAATCTGCCCTCAGACAGCCAGGACTTGGGTCAGCCTGGATCAGAAGAGGATTTTACAATATAAAAGAGAATTTTCCCACCTTGACACCAGGCAGTATATTCAGCATAATTTTGTGTACCATGGTTAATGATTGCCATTAAATGGTTAATCTTGGGACAAAAAATGTTATAGAAGTTTTTAAACATCTGTAAAAGAAGCTTAAGTTTTATCATCCTTTTTTTCTCATGAATTCTTGAAGGATTATGCCTTAATGCTGTTATCTATCTCATTGTTCTTGAAAATACCTGCATTTTTTGGTATCATATTGAACCAACATCATCATGAAATTAGATTTCCATGGCCATAAAATGGCATTAAAAATTAATTATATTAAAAAAATAGTTTGAGAAGCAAATTGGCAGGCAGTATTTCATACTTAAGAATCTGACTTGGGGCTGGGCGCGGTGGCTCAAGCCTGTAATCCCAGCACTTTGGGAGGCCGAGGCGGGTGGATCACAAGGTCGAGAGATCGAGACCAACCTGGTCAACATGGTGAAACCCCGTCTCTACTAAAAATACAAAAAATTAGCTGGGCATGGTGGCGCGTGCCTATAATCCCAGCTACTCAGGAGGCTGAGGCAGGAGAATTGCCTGAACCCAGGAGGCGGAGGTTGCAGTGAGCCGAGATCGTGCCATTGCACTCCAGCCTGGGTAACAAGAGCGAAACTCCGTCTCAAAAAAAAAAAAAAAAAAAAAAAAAAGAATCTGACTTGGATTGTGAATTATAGATATGCCCTTTTCTGATAAAAACAAATTAAAAAACATAATAAAACACAGTGACTTTGTACAATGGGGGTGTTTGACATATTTTACAGTGTGAAGTATACTATACTATTACTTTTGAATGTGTTTGCAGAGCTGGTGGACATGTTTATCTACAAGTATGATTGCTGTTACGTAACACCCAAAACTAACTCCCAAATTAAAGCACAGTTGTGCTCTCAATACCTCATACTGCTTTATCTTTTTTTCCTGGATATCTGTGTATTTTCAGATGTTACTATATTAAAGCAGAGATATAACCAAAGGATAAGCTATCTCAGATCTCTTGTTGTAAACACAAGAAACAGTTATTTTTGGCCAGACATTTCTCTAGAAGTCTTAACAACAAAACAACTTTAAACTTATTCTATAGTAAACACACATTTTGTAATCAGAATCAAATCATACTAACTAGCAGATGAAGAAGGCAATTATGCCTTAGCAAGAGGGTTATATGTGTCAAAGCACTTCCTCATCTGAAAGATAGTTCCATCTCTGTTCCCCTTAGTTCTGAAAAGCCCCCCAGCATCACTGTCATGGACTCTGTTCTGCACTGTTCAGATCCCTACTTAAGAACTGAGGACTTGGCTGGGCGCGGTGGCTCAAGCCTGTAATCCCAGCACTTTGGGAGGCCGAGGCGGGTGGATCACGAGGTCAAGAGATCGAGACCATCCATGGTCGACATGGTGAAACCCTGTCTCTACTAAAAATACAAAAAGTTAGCTGGGCATGGTGGCGCGTGCCTGTAATCCCAGCTACTCAGGAGGCTGAAGCAGGAGAATTGCCTGGACCCAGGAGGCGGAGGTTGCAGTGAGCCGAGATCGCGCCATTGCACTCTAGCCTTGGTAACAAGAGTGAAACTCCGTCTCCAAAAAAAAAAAAAAAAAAAAAGAACTGAGGACTTACTCAAATTAGCCTCTGCTGGAGAGAGCCACCTTTCCCAAGGTCATGCTGCTTTGTAGGGCAGCCCGCATCCTGTGACTGGCTGATGTGGGCATATCAAGGCCTGAACTCAGAAGGGTCATACAGAATCAAAACTTCCCACCGGGTCAGCTCAGGTTTTGCTGGGACTACTTGGTAACTCAATTTCTTCTTTACTCAGTTTTACTTCCTTCCATTCCCCTCACAGGTGTCTATCCTGAGAGTGTTCCCTTAGAAATTTTCTGCTAGTTTCCATCACAGAATTTGCTTTTTGGAGAAAACAACTTGTGACAGGTTGTGCTGGGAGGGATAGGAAATGGATGCTAAGATGGGACTTTGGAGCTAGATTGCCTGCTGCCGGCTGGCGATGAGGACTCCATCCTTGTCTGTAGAGGACCAGAGGCACAGGATAGCAGTGCGATTGTTAATACTTTCACTGAGGCCAGGCGCAGTGGTTTACGCCTGTAATCCCAGCACTTTGGGAGGCCGAGGTGGGCGGATCACCTGAGGTCAGGAGTTCAAGACCAGTCTGGCCATCATGGTGAAACCCCATCTTTAAAAAAAAAAAACTTTCACTGAGGATGAACCAAGATGATATAGCAGTGGAAGGAAGTGCACCAGGGTGTGATATACCAGGCATCTGAGAAATGCTGGCAAGTAGCAATATAAAGACAATGGTATTGGTTGGCTATTGCTGGACTTAATTAATGCTTTTGAAAAAGACAATGAAGCCGGGCGTGGTGGCTCAAGCCTGTAATCCCAGCACTTTGGGAGGCTGAGGCGGGTGGATCACAAGGTCGAGAGATTGAGACCATCCTGGTCAACATGGTGAAACCCTGTCTCTACTAAAAATACAAAAAACTAGCTGGGCGTGGTGGCACGTGCCTGTAATCCCAGCTACTCAGGAGGCTGAGGCAGGAGAATTGCCTGAACCCAGGAGGCAGAGGTTGCGGTGAGCCGAGATCGTGCCATTGCACTCCAGCCTGGGTAAGAGTGAAACTCCATCTCAAAAAAAAAAAAAAAAAAAAAAAAAAAGAAAAAGACAATGAAAGAATGAAAGGCTAAGGATGATGAATTAGAGGCTAAATGTGAAAACCAGTAGGCCTCCTTGGCAGCATATTAAGAAACTCTCTTCTGTAGTAGGACTGAAAAGCTGAGGACCAGGCCCAGGACTTATGAGAACAGCAGATGGTTGGGTGCGGTGGCTCACGCCTGTAATCCCAACACTTTGGTAGGCTGAGGCGGGTCGATCACCTGAGGTCAGGAGTTCGAGACCAGCCTGACCAACATGGCAAAACCCCGTCTCTACTGAAAATACAAAAATTAGCTGGGTATGGTGGCGGGGATCTGTAATCCTAGCTACTCAGGAAGCTGAAGCAGGAGAATCGCTTGAACCTGGGAGCCAGAGTTTGCAGTGAGCCAAGATCACATCACCGCACTCCAGCCTGGGCAACAGAGCATGACTCCATCTCAAAAAAAAAAAAAAACAACAACAACAAAAACAAACAAAAAACAAACAATTACATATATATATATATATATATATATATACACATATCAGAGTTCCAAGAATGTTAAATTCTCAACTTAGCCCAGTCTGTTAATGCAAGCTCAGAGTCCTTACTGGGGAAAAATGGGACCCTGAGAGATGGAGACATCTGGGCTGATATATTCAGGTTTTAAGCCCTCAGATTCCTTTGAACCTCTGCATCTATAGAAGAGTCCCATGCTTTAAGGACCAATGCTGGCCAGGTGTGGTGGCTCACGCTTGTAATCCCAGCACTTTGGGAGGCCGAGGCGGGTGGATCACTTGAGGTCAGGAGTTTAAGACCAGCCTGGCAAACATAGTGAAGTCCTGTTCTACTAAAAATACAAAAATTAGCTGATTGTGGGGGTGAGCACCTGTAATCCTAACTCAGGAGGCTGAAATACGAGTATCACTTAAACCTGGGAGGTGAAGTTTGCAATGAGTCGAGATCACGCCACTGCACTCCAGCCTGGGCGACAGAGCAAGACTCTATCACACACACACACACAAGAGCCAACAACCAAAAAACAAGAAAAACCTAATGTTTTCTTGTTGAAGAGAATTAAGAGGCCCCTACCTTAAAGAGGCTCCTACCTCAAGATCTGCCCTCAGCTCCCTTCCTACACAGCAGATAAATATCAAAGTTAAGTCAGTATAAACCAACAAAGAAGTGTTGGGCTTGCTCAGGAGGAAAGGTAAAATACTCTGAAAGTTCTGCAGAACTTAGCTGGTGTGGACCTTTAGAGGTGAGAGGATGTCAATAAGACTTAACTCTAGAAGTTATTGATCCAGGGATGGAAATAGAACACAAAATTGGCTAAGGGACTATTGAGCCATGTGAGTGTACTCTCTTGGGATACAGGTTTTAATCCTTGCAAGAACCCTGGGAGAAGGTGTTGACACCTTACTAGAACTCCTAGACACTTGGAGAAAGTGACAACCCTCACTTCAGTGAAGTGGAAACACTAGAATTGCCAGGCCAGGCAGTGGGAAAAGGGGTCAAAGGACTAAGGAAATGGACATGATACAATGAACAGACTATGTAAGCCTTGCAAATCCATCAGATGACTGTTTTGCAGGAAGGCCAAAGCAATAAAGAATAGCCTGGTGAGAGGAACCAGCATCTCTGAGCCATCTGTGATGGCGCTCCTCAGAAGAGCCAGGTTGATATTGTTACATAACTGGGCTCATTAATAGCAGTGGGAACAGTGGGTACCAAAATAATAGAGGCCAGGTGATATTGCTCAACAATCAGAAGCCAAGAGGCGCAGTATCTTAATGAGCAGCAGGGTAAGAGAGGCATCCAGGTGAGCCTGATGAGCACGGACTTAGGAGACGGCATCTCTAGAGGTAAGATAGTTGCACAGCCAGCAAAGGCATTGCTCAATCTATTGTATTAGGCAGGGTTTGCCAGACAGACAGAACCGCTAGGACACATATGTAGATATATGCGAGGAGGTTTATTAGGGCAATTGGCTCATGTGATGGTGGGGGCCATCTGCAGGCTGGAGAACCAGGGAAGCTAGTAGCATAGCTCAGTCCGAGTGCAAAGGCCTTGGACCAGGGAAGCTGGTGGTATGACTGTCATCCAAAGCCAAAGGCCTGAGAACCTGGGGGGTGTGCTGGTACAAGTCCCAGCATCTCACAGCCAGAGAACCTGGGGTTCTGATGTCCAAGGGCGGGAGAAGAAGAATGTCTCAGCTCCAGGAGAGAAAGTGAATTTGTCTTTCCTCTGCCTTGTTGTTCTATCCAGGCCCCAGGTGACTGAATGGTGTCTGCTGTGCACAGGCACAAGATAGCAGTGAAATTGTTAAAACCGAGTTAGGAGACGGCATCTCTAGAGGCAAGATAGTTAGTTGCATAGCCAGCAAACGTATTGCTCAATCTATTGTATTAGGCAGGGTTTGCCAGAGAGACGGAACCACTGGACATTTATGTAGATACATGAGAAGTTTATTAGGGCAATTGGCTCACGTGATGGTGGGGGCCATCTGCAGGCTGGAGAACAGGGGAGCTGGTAGCATAGCTCAGTCCGAGTGCAAAGGCCTTGGACCAGGGATCCAGGGATGTGGCAGGTCTTCCCCACTTGGTCTACCACCTCACACGCTAATCTCCTGTACAAATAGCTTCACAGATACACCCAGAAATAATACTTTACCTGCTATCTAGGTAT